AGTCTTCCATGTGTATCTTTTTACAAGCACCTCAGTTTGGAAAGCTCTGCTTTTAGCTTGCGTAAACGTTACTGAGGCAGGTTGATTCGTGTTAAGTTTTATTACAAACCAATCTCGTACGGATTACTTTCAAGGACAATTATATATGTTCCAGCAACCTTTTGTGCCGGAATTCCAGTGACTTATTAAAAAAGGCAATTTGATTTTGTCTTGTTTGTTTTTCAGTGTTATTTGTTTTTGTTTTTTTTTTTGTGCAAGAAGAAGTAAATAAAGAAACAAAAGCTCTTTGATTCAGTTAAATTTAGCGAGCTTCCCAGGTTACTAAATTAATGTAGCTCCCACTCTTTGATTAGGATCAGCAACCTTTTGTTTTGAAGTTATTTTCTGCGTATACGCCCACAAGCCTATCAATTACAGTTAATCCAGACGTTTTAAGATCATCTATCTTTTATGTAATTAAGATGGGATGGGTTTGTTTGTAGTCTTATCAACTTTTAGCAATAATCAATCTGGTTAGCAAACAAAAATCCCTTCAAACATTGTTAATCTAGAACTTGTGAATGACACTAGACGTAATATAATTCTGTCCAGTTTTTTAAATTCTAGCTGAACAGAGTGGCTGTTTCCATGTTTGCAGTGACTTGACAATTTAAAAACAGTTGCCCTTATGAAATGTCGTTTTGTTTATTAACGAAACAAATTATCGGAATTAAAATCGCCCACACAGTCAGTGCACAATGACCTGTCGTCGAGCGTTTAGCTTTACGATAACTAATCGGTCTCGGCCGTGGGTGTGTCGGGAATGTTCGCTATGCTTCGCCAAGTCGATGTTTCAGCTAATGTTTGTTTGTTTTGAAATGACGAAAGAAAATTCGAGATGTGGGTGGAACAGCCTAGGAATTTATTAACAACGAAAGGAATGTGTAGTTCAGTAGATTGCTTTTCAAAGACGAGTATAGTTGTATGGAGAGTAGTTGTTCAGGTTTTAAAAAATTAACCTGAAAAAAACTCTGTTAGTCAGAGCTGCCAAATTTACAACAAAGCCGGGAAAGGAAAAAGAGCAAATGCCCCTCGCTATCATTTGGCATAATAATGAATGGAACAGCTTACAAGAGAGGTTCTGGTTACTACGTGGTTACTATACGTTCAGGATCTGCAGCCATTTTAATTTAGTCTTCTATTCTACATGATTGGTGGTGAAGCGAAGACTGGGAAAAGCCAATTTTATTCCAGCATTATTTCAAGATGTAACATCATAAATTTCTGAAGAATTTCAAAAGAGCAGCGCTGCTTCCTCCCTTTGAAGGAGGAAAATGGCGAGATTTAGGCGTTTTCAAGAAGGAACGAACACTTGAAGGGGTATATGAACGTTTCTATCTATCTTAGAGACCTTAGATGGCGAAGAAGTAGTGGCGAAACCAGGAAACAGGTCAGCGGGAGTGGGACACGTAACACCTCGGTGAGCCGTCCGCCATTTTGTCTTTTTTCGACGGAGAATTGGGTGCCACTGCCACAGGCAGCTCAATAACTTAGGCCCATTTATACGAGGAAAAATAAGACACGTCTTACATAAGACGCGTCCTAAATAAGACGCAAACTATCCCGTATAAACGGCACATTATTGACATTAAGACGCGACTTAGCTAAGCCGCGTCAGTCTTACACGAGATAGTTTGCGTCTTATTTAGGACGCGTCTTATGTAAGACGTGTCTTATTTTTCCTCGTATAAATGGCCCTAATGAGGCTATGAATGAACGGTATGTGAAAGATTAATTTGGCGCGAAACAGTTCCACAAAATAGAACTGTAGCCGTGATTAGCTTAAATCGAGAAAGGAATGTGGTTCGAATGAGAGCAGCCGTTTCTTTTGTAGCTTGCGTAGCATGGCGGTTTTGTCGGGCCACTACACTACTGAGCGACGAAGCCGCAAATGCGCGCCCGAAAGAGCGGCGAACCCGCGAGAAATATATAAACCGCCTGCTCGGATTCGTGGCCTTTTCAGCTGCGGCCCCTTCATCTCATTTTGACATCCTATTGACAACTTGTTTGGTTTCAATCCCCCCTTATCTCAGGGTCTGGATGGCCGCTTCCCCATCCCGTATCTATAGCGCTGGATCCGCCACTGATTTTAACAAGGGCACCTGACGACTCCTTTCTGTAACATAACTGTTCGAAGGAGCAAATATTGCCTAGAAATTTCTGAAGCTCGAGAAAGGCTGAAAATTTCTGTATAACCGTTCCAGTTGCCTAAGATATTCGAAGTTTTTCTTCTTTGTTACCTACGATTTTCGAAGTTTGTGTTCTTAACATGCATTTTATTACCAAGATATTGGGAATGCTGCTAAAAAAAAACGTCTCCTGAAAATTTCGGTATAAAGACAAAGGACCCTTAGAATTTTCTAATGATAGTACGGCTACTCCATTACCTCGAACTTGATCAATCGGACCCATCAGGACAGCTAACGGTTTCGGATGAGACGAAAAATCCACCTAAAACTTTCGAAACGGCCAAAGTTCCCCTAAGATACCCGAACAGATATAGCTAGATATTAAACAGTTTTTAGGGCAGCTCCAAATTAACCAAACAGGCCAAATCATTTGAGACACTTCGGTCGATGGGTGCCCCTGTTTTAAGCTCTAGACCTTCTTATAAGTTTTTGACCAACACAATTTTTTAAAACGGATGTTTTGCAGTCTAGATAAGAGTGACAGTCACTGCAATCAGCTTCTTTAACTTACTTTTATTAACACCTAAACAACACCTTTTAAACATCATCAATGCATGTATTAACTCTTTAGCCTCTCATTTAACGTTTGTAGGGCCTTGACGAGAATTTGCCATTGGCTGAATCTGTGAATTGTTCTGTCATGGAAAAAGCCGCAGGTAAAATGTTCTGCAGGCTCCAACTCCTGGGACGACATAAAACCTTAAAAATTACAAAAAAGTATACTGGTATCGATGTGAAAATCAATTAAGAGTTTTTATGTCATGTTATAATTTTAACCTTGAACTCGAAATGCGAACATGCCTCAACAAAGCTTCAACTCTGGAGTGACTGGCTTTAATTTTAAGATTTTTATGAGGGGAATGGATGGCTATACCTTTGTAATTCTCTTCTGCAATTGCAATAGCAAGATCATCTGCCTGGCGTTTCGAGATCTCTTCTTGAATCACGAACTGCGAAAAGCAAATGAAGGCTTAATTATAGTTTTCATATATAATAGTTATTTGTTGACGAGCTAACAGGTTAACCACAGTGCGAATATGCCCCCATGATTTGGATAGCCTGCTAACGCTGGAGTTCTCGTGAAGGCGGGGGTGGGAAGGAACACTACATGAAAGAAGCATTTTCTGTTTTGTCTGTACTTGTAAATGCGAAATACCACAGACAGCTCAGATTCTAAAGGAGTTCGTTGGAAGATAATGTATGAGAATAAGTAATAAAATACGTACTAAATTCTGCTTTTTGTGTTGTATCTTGTACTCAGTGTCTGATCGTTTCTGGAGCCATTTTGAAGCCGTTTTGAGGAGTATCAGCGATTTCGAGTCAGAATTAGAAAAAACGGCCCCTTTCATTTCAATTCTTTTCAAAAAGTGGAATTTAGTAATTTCTTATCTATTTCTGTTATTCTTAAACATTTTCTTATAACATTCAAATTCCAACAAACAGTTCCATAGAGTCGGGCTACCTGTGGAGGTACTCACCTCGCTTCTTTGATGAAGACATTCTCGATTATACCAAACAATACTAGGGGTTGTTATAACCTTTTCGATCGGTGTTTGAGAGAGACAAAATCACTGAATGAATATCGCCTGCTCTGCATGCGTCCTTTATAGTGGGTTACAAACGTGATCACGAGGCATATTTATGTGCTGCGTGCTTGTCTTGGGTAATGCTGGCTTTGAAAACATGAGTGTAGCGTGGCTGCTTGTCTCTGGTCAAACAACGTGACGAGACAAAAACGGCTGCCAGGGAGACTAACGCCTGCCAGACGGGGCCTGCCGCGCAGGCTACTGAGCGCAGTGATAAAGCTCTTTTGGGTATCCTCAAGTAATAGTAAGTTGCGGGGTTTTCTCTTCACTTTGCGACAAAGGTAAAACCGAGGCACAGTAGATTGTTCCTCTCTTTTTTCATAGGATCGTCGGGATCGAGCGCTTACCCCGTACGGGCGGTCTTCTTGGCCTCACACGACGTAACGTAACGGTAGCGTTCGAACTCGACCATCTTACGAATGTGGGTCTAAGAACTAGGGGCGGATGCTCTCGCAAGTACTTCAATGAAAAATCTAAATATTGTTCCTGAGACGACCCGGAGAAGGGAGGGCGGGTGATGCTCGATATACCAAATCAATATATGCACCATTGTGTCATTCTATTGTCTTAAGTTTACTGTTAATGTGTAAGTGGCAGGGGCCCGTTTCTCGAAAGTCCCGGTAACTTTTCGGGTCCGAAATCAAACATTAAAATGGAAATATAAAGAATAAGAGCGCGGGTCCTGGCAGGCAAACTACTCCATTTTGTTTCATTAACTGATAGTTTTACCATGTTAGATGCAAAACTATCGAGCCTCGATCTTTAATGTAAACGGCAAGAGCTTACCGGGCCCGTTAATTTACGACGTAACTCGAGACTTGCCATTAACGTGGTATATGGTGCACCAGACAGAGGGCTCTGTCATGGAAATTACAGGGATGCTCGTCGGCTTAGGCTTCATTTTTGTCAGAACGCGACGAGTGGCGGGCGAAGCAAGCCGCGCGGAAACGCACAAGTCAGCTGCGAAGTCGCAAGGCGCTCTCGGTCTCTCCTCGCGTGCCGCCCGCGCGTTACTTCCCACAAATGGAGAGTTTGCTTCAATCTAAGGCACAGGCAGAAAACACATGGTAGATACTACAAAAATTCTCTGTATGAAAGTCCATTTACTATTTATGTACAACAATCTTGCATTTGCGTACAAGACTAGCATTGTAAGAACTTTAAATTCACAAAACTTGAGAAACTCCGAAAACCGTTTGGAACACCCTGACAACTAAATGAACATCGCTCTAACTAATGCCTCTAAACACCCGTTTAAAAACCATTTTAAAAGAATATGTTATTCGAATTTAATGGCTACAAAAAATAATTAAAATCGAACAAATAGAGACATCAATGCTGATTCCTTTTCCAGAATCAAATATAGAAAATTTGAATGAAAAAGCGAGACTGATGTAACCATTGAAAAAAAACCTCTTCGGCAGTTGTTAGCTTTCAATTGATCAAGCCGTGCAAGGTAGTTCTAGCATTTGTCTATGGTAATATGCAGGGTTTGGTTAGACTTAAAGGGAATCAAATTCTAAGATTTGCGTTCAGTGCGCAAGTGTGAAAATTCCAGGACTCGCATCTCGAACTAAACCATTTCCCCACCGTACACATTCTTTCTATAAAACTTTGAAGGTAGCTTACGGAGAATTTTCAAGTCTTTCTAGCACCCTAAGAGAAAATGTCAAAATTTCAAAAATAGTGCGAGGCCTTGGGGCAGAGTTCTCCCCTAAAGCCTAAAGCTATGAAGGAAAATGAAAATATCTTACAGAGAGGATGATAAGGGCGATCGCCGGCCCCGACATACGACCCAACGAAACCGCAACAGAACGAAGGAAATAGGCGATCTCCGAGCTTCAAAAACTCTTCCTTTCAAAACGAGGCCAAGTGCAAAACCTTTGTTGTCAAAATGAGTTTTATTTGCTTGTAAAAAACAGTCAATGAAAAAACAGTCAAACAACGGCCCTGTATATAGCGGTCACCCGGTATATTACGGTCACCGGACAAGTTTCCAAAAATTAATCGCCCCATATTTTCTGCAAAGTTGACCTGTATATTAGCGGTCACCCTGTATATAATCTTCACATTGCCATTTCCCAAGGGTGACCGTTATATACAGGTTTCACTGCATTTTCATATCAGTGATTTCGCACTTGGTCTCGCCTTGAAACAGAGGCTTGACGCAACTCGGAAATGACCAATTAAGAGCTGTAAATAATAATACATCGCATGTCGGGGTCTTCCCTCATCAAAAGGGCGGGCGAAACGTTTCAACAAGGAATTTTAAAATACAAATTATCATTGAATGACAGCAAAGTGCATTGTACTCTACAATTTTGTGCACTCATTGACGGGCCAAGTTAGGAGTTTTAACCTCTGAGACAAAAATGACCTACACATTTGAAACATGTTTTGGAAGTCATTGCCTGTTGTATGCTTGAAGGAAATCCCCTTTCTTTACTATTTCAAAGTAAAAGTTTTTTTACCTGGCATACTCCACCTTTGAAATATATTTTCTTTAGCAACTGTCTCATTTCTTCCCGTTAATTTTGAGGACCCACAAATAACTCACTCACAAAATCTGACAAACCTGATGTCACTTCTCTAGTGTCTAAAAATTTAACCTTGTAACAATTCAAACGACAGATCTTTGGGTCAGTTTTACTGTTGTACCGCTCGTGATGCAGTCTAAATCGTAAACACAGTTAACAGTTTGAATTTGTCGACGGAAAAAGAAATTATGACCAGCTGAATAAACCTTCTTTTCTAAGTTGGGTGGTTCATCAAGACACGTACGCTAACTCAAACCTCTTATTGACCCTGCATCTTGCGGTAAATTTTGCCATGTTGTAAAAGGTGGTTCTAACTTCCGAGCTGGCGGATAAAATCCAAAAGTATGAACGTTTTACTGAAAGTTCATAAGCAGTACTGTCATGTGGTGGTGTTTTTCTTGGCAACGTTTTGTACTTTTTTCACAATACTGAAAACTACTTGACAGAGAAAAGGTAAAGTATTAAATTTGCAAAAGGTTGTAAGTGACTGAATTTCTAAAAGCCCGAAATAAAAGTTAGTGGCAAAGCAAGTCAATACCAAAACCCTCGCACAAAATTTGACAACTCCTGCACTCAAACACTGTACGTCTGAAACATATTAGTAAAATCCAACTAGTGGTCTATTATCAGTTCTGCGTTCTGATTGGTTAAGCTACTATTAGGCTATATGTTATAGCCCACTAGTAGCGAAAAGCGCCGGCTTTGAAAACAAAAACAATTGCGGCTGAATCGCATTTTGCCAGCTAAAGTTGTTTCGCCTCGATATTTTTGACAAACTAGTTGGATTTTACTAAAACAATTATTCCTCTCGCCCTCATGGGCTATTGACTCAGAGCCCATTCAGGGTCGAGGAATAATTGTTAAATACAGTCAACTCTCGCTAGCACGGACACCTTTGGGACCGACACTACCTGCCCGTCTTAGAGAGATGTCCGTCTCATAGAAAGTCAAATAGAGGGAGCAAAGAAAGGCAGGGACCAACTCCAGGTGTCCATTTTACAGAGGTGCCCTTTAAGAGAGAGTCGACTGTAGTCTGTATACAGCACCCCCCACCCCGTCAATTTTCGGGGCGGCCATCTTGGTAAATGAAACCAAAATAGCCGCCCATTAGTGAGCGTCACAACCTTAGGAGGATTCAAACAGTTTAAAACATGCCTGTTTGCACAGGTCCTTGCTCGACGTCCTTGCATATCTTTTTCTGATAATTTGTGCTTTCCAAAGGCGAACCACCACTCAACTCGGGGTGAACGTCTTGGGAAAAAGGAAATAAATTGTCTTTCCCAACACAATAACTCGCACTTCAAAATGAGACTTCGTCCCACTTGATCGCGGTATCCATGACGTTCTTAAGCGAAAATATCCTTTCCTGACACGCTTCCTCTCTTCGAACAGTTGAGAAACACCCATGAATGCAATGTCCGAGCATCTGTAATTAACGCCAAGAACTCTAATCCAGTACTTTCCAACAACATTTTCTATTCTGTCTTGCATTGCAACAATCCACAGTTTTAAAAGTCAGTTAATTACAAGGTGCCAAAATTTTCCTTGGCCACATTTCTCAGGATAACTTAAAATTCAAAAAACAAAACAAACGAATAAGCAAAAAATTCAGTTACGGGCAATTCTGTTGCAAGGACTTTTCCTTGACATCAGGCAAAGCCATGTTCTGAGTCACTTTCATTTATGAATCCGTGCGGCGGCCTGAAGTGGCAGTTAAAAAAATCGAAGAACTTGCGTTCTCTTTCTTCTTTTGTAACCTTGTCACTCATTTTCTCCGTACTTAAAATCACTAACATGCACTTCATCAAACTGGTCCAAAAAGATGGAGAAATAACCCTTTCTTGAACAAATTCCCCTGTAAAGAAAAAGTAAAAAATAATTTATACACATTACACAAGATTGAAGGATCAAGCCAATTTCGTAGGAAAAGAAGCAAGAAAATAGAGCCATGATTAGTAAACCGGGTTCAAGGCTTCCCAACTCTCTTTACTTTTAACTTTCTTCTACTTTCTTTTAAATTTTAAGATTCAAGTTTAGGAGTGCTAACCATTTACACAAACCACCTGGATGAAAATCTTGTGCATACCGTATATCTTCTATTAAGCCCCCAATCCCCACCTTTTAGGGAAAGAAAGTCAATAAGTCCCCCTCTCTTTTAAGGAAAAGGTTTTTATTGAATTAGTCGTTTTATATTTTAGTCGTTTTAATCGAGAGAGTTCTTTTTTTCAATCAATCAGTTTTGCTATATTAAATTAATTATTTAAAGTAATTTATGAAATTAATTGTCATATTTTCAACATTCCTTGTAAAGCGCCAGTGGGCATTGCTGGAAATGGCGCTATATATATAGTATTATTATTATTATTATTATTATTATTATTATTATTATTTAAGCCCCCTCCCCTCCCCTCAATTATCAAATATTGGCCAATGAAAAAGTAGTTTATTAAGAAATCGTACCATCAATGTTAATTGTTCCACACGAGCATTCGATGTCAAGAATAAAGTGGTTGTGAATTGCCATTATACGAACTAGAGTCACTTGGTCTTGAACATCTTTCGCAGAGTTCTTCGTACGTCCCTCCATGAAGAAAACAAACAATAATAACTGTCATGTTGTCACAGCCCAAGCCACCCATCTGACAGTCTGGTGCTAAACACCGCGTGAGAAGTTCTTCACAGATCTGAAATGAAAATATCAAGTAAAAATTGAGAGAAGAAAATAACTAAAGCCACACCTGTATGGAGCGACAAGCGTTCCCGTTGTTGACGGACTCAATCAGAGATTCAATCAGAATTAATTGACAACTGATTCTGATTGTTCATTGAATAATCCATTCATGAAATGTATAATGTAATAATTCAAATTCAGCCTCTCCTTGTTTGATTGTAGACAACAAAGTAGTTTTATCTTACACAGGGGAAAAAAAACAAACAACATGTCCTTTCAAAACTTGGCGAGCCGTTAACATGAGAAAGAAAAAGTTGGCTTGGCTAGAAGGGTGACCCTTTAATGGCAGGGTCACCCTTCTCACTGGGCCAACTATTCTCCATATTATAAACACTTTGGCTTACTTAGCTGAATCAACTCAGAGCAGGCCCGAGCGCCGTTGTTGTCTCTTGCCTCGGGCCAAGTGGTCAACGTTTTCCTCATTAAAACGTTCGCCAAATTTGATTTGGCTGGGAGAGGGAGGGTGACGTGACCCCCTTTCGCTCGGGCAACTTTCCTCCATATAAACTGGGCCTTGGAGAATAATTTCAGAGATTTTCAAGAAAATACAGTGTGCGAAACATACCAATGGTCTAACAGGGAACTGCAATGTAGAACAAGAAAGAACATCATGCTATGAACATACGAACCTGTTCTGGTTCCATTCTTTGCGATATCCTTATTCTTACAAAGTCAACCACTTCTTGATTAGATAGGACATCCCAGATTCCTTAAAAAAGTTTACAGTACAGTAAGAATAAAACTTAAATCTGTCTATGAAGGTTAAAAATATTGCTTTTCTTGTATTTATAGAGCATTCACTGTGTATATTTTTTACTTGATAATGATGCCTGAGAAAAAAAAAAAATTTCTTAAATGTTTTTAAGAACAGGTTTTACAGCTTTTGGT